CCTTGTCTTTCAAACTTTTGCATTCAACGTTTTATTATAATTTCTTATCATCTGGACAATGAGCAATGCAATTCAAAATACAAAGAAAAGACTCAATTTTAATAATGAAAGGTTATACGTACTTTTAACATTTCTAATAAAAGAACTTCAATAACCTCAAATAAGACATCTAGAACAAACAATTAGACGAACTGAAAGTGATAACGAACCAAAAAGTCTAAAATAAAGTTTACAAAAGCAAGAGTCCAATTTGTATTATTGGAATTTGAGGGTCGTTGGTGGGGAATGGGGCATGGAACAATATGTTTCACTTGTACGTACTTTAATGTTTTTAATAAAAGAATTTCGATAATATCAAATAAGACAGCTGGAACAAATAATTAGACGGACTAAAAGTAATAACGTACCAAAAAGTTTAAAATAAATATTAGAAGCAAGAGTCCAATTTGTATGATTCGAATTTGAGGATGTTTGGTAAGTAATGGGGCATGGAACAATATGTTTCACACTATGATAATTGGAAATTACAAAACTAAATAAATGGCCTACTTTGTTTTTCAATCTTTCTTCGAAAGTGCTAATGACAATGACTGACTGAAGAAGCCAAGAATATATAAATATGTTTTTTTTCTGAATTTAATTCAAGATCATCTAGGCTTGCATGCCTACAAAACATGGTCTCAATGAGTCAATGTCTTCTCTACAAATGGAATTTTTTCAACTTTTATGAGTAAATTATATAAAAATAAAAGTTTTTAAAGTAAATTAATATTTATTTAATTGTCCGTTCAAAGATCTATAAATGGATGAATCAAAATTTGGAAAACATTAATAATTTCGGATTTATATAATCCAATAGGCATCAATCAAACCACTAATCATGATAGGATTTTCTCGTCTTTCTGAAAAAAAGGTCGTTAACCAATTTTGTTTTGTAGTTCATTAAAAATGTTTGAGCGCTCAGATATAATTCTAATTCATAAATAAAAATCTTTTATTTTTGTAGCATTATTATTTGGTTGGTGGGCAGGGGCGGACCCAGACCGTTCGAACTGTGGAGTCAAAAAATTTTTTTTTTTCGAACAACATATTATGAACAAAAAGGAAAAATCGGTTGTTTGTTGTTCATGTTCGATATTTGCACTTTGGGAAGAAATCGATGGATTATATGATATATCTATGAACTAAATAATAGATATGGACCATGTGATATGGATATAGATTTAGGATTTGGACTTTTTGGGACAAAAAATTAAGTTTTCAGCAAAAAAAAAAAAAAAAAAGAAGAGAGGTGTATTTAAAAAGTAGAGAAAAGTGTTGGGTTTAAGTGTAAAGTATTTTGTTGTGAGAATGTAATTGAAAATGAGTAAGAGAATTTTTTTTTTTTTTTTTTTTTTTTATTAATTTTAATAACAAATTTTACAGGATTTACAATTTTTATAAAAATCTATTAAGAAATTAATTTTTAGCTAAACCAAGGATTGAGCGGCGTTTTCAACTAAAAACAACCATTGATGTATAACTTAAATTGTTGTATGCTATATATATTTGAGTCTTTTCAGAATTAAATTCACCAGATATGAGACAATTATACCAACATCCAGACTTTCCGATTATTGAATTCTATCCCGTAATACATACCAAATTTTCATCATATTGAAAATAAAGACGTATTCAACAAGTACATGTATTAAATAAAGATAACGAAGGATGACACTTGTCAAAATGGCCCCCTTTATCTTCATCATTTTCTTCAATTCTAACACATCCCTTTCAGTATTTCTGGTCGGTCACTTGCATTGCAGTCATTGACTGAAGAAAAATAAATAAATGAATAAAAATACGTCCAGTGGCTCTTTTGCTTTCAACATTAATGCAAAGTTTCCAATCTGAGCCACAATTTGCCTAAATCAGAATTACATTTTGTACAAATACTGAGTTGTCATCAACAGGACACTGAGTTGAGCATTACCCACCTCTGAGGCTGATCAAAGTTACGTCGTGATCAAACCTTCCAAATGTTTGACCAACTCCAACCATGCCAAAAAAGAGTGTTTTTTTTTTTTTTTTTGGCTTTTAAAAGTTTATCAAAAGCTTTATCAAATAACACCTTAACGTTGTGTCAGAACATTTAAATATTTTTTATTCAAATTTTATCATTTTTTATTTATAAAAATTTTATGTGCGAGTCCTTAAACGATAAAATAAATACAATTAATTATTTGCAGATAAACATAATTCGGATTCCGAATCAGCTGGATAATTTCAAAGAATATCAGCAGTGAGTGAGGGAACTAATTGGACATGAAGAGAGTAAGAGACTTGTGAAACGAGCACTTGTTCTTATTACTCTGGGAGGCAATGATTTTGTCAATAATTATTACTTAGTTCCCAATTCTACAAGATCTCAACAATTCACCCTTCAAGAATATGTCCGTTTTCTCATCACTGAATACAAGAAAGTTTTAAAGGCATGCTCTCTCTCTCTCTCTCTCTCTCTCTCTCACACAGTCACATTGACGATCTCGATCTTTCATACTTTAAGTATTATACTCTTAAGGGATAAAGATGATAAGATGGATGTATGATCGTGCAAAAATAGATAAAATAAGAATGGAAGTATACGCAATAAACCCATCCGAAGCCAAACATCTTGGTCGGCTTGCCTTCAATACATCCCCGATTTGGACGTCAAACTCTGATCAACCATTGTTTCTCATTTTTCGTATGGTTCCAACTCCCAAATGCCAAATGCCAACAGCTCCACAAGTAAAGCAAGATCAATTATCAAGGCAAAAAGGGGATGGATCACACCATGCACAGCTAGCTATATTTTGTACAAATTGGTGAAATATATGGGGACCAGCATAAGGACATCCTCAGACTACCATTAACTTAATGAAATATAGACAATATTCATATCTTAATTTCCACATGAGTGACCCCTACCAGTGCCTTTTCAAATAAAGCTATCATTAACTGTATTGGGCACAGGACCACCAATAGAAATTTGAATAGTTAAAACCCAACAACATTTAAGCATGTGAGTGCAACTTTTCACTTATAATTAGACAGAAGATGAGTTTTTAATCCAACAACTTAGGGACACAGAAAGTTTGAGATTCTTTTAGGTTACTTCAAGGCATGAAGAGACACCCCAACTCAACACACCCCACCTGTCATTTCAATATGTTGTTATGAGAGGCAGATACAACATTTTTATATACAGTACCAATTGGAGGTTAATAAAGTGAAAAACAGTAATTAGAAAGGTAATTGACATGAAATGATAAGAAAGTCACATCAGGAAAGCATCGAAGTAATATTTCAAAGCTATAGTCCATGAATGATGACGAGCATTAGTATAAGTTGGAGACATCATATAAAGATTTTGTGGCCACGAAAAGGACAACAATTAACACATCCACAGTTTTTAGAGAACTTTTAATTAGCGAACATTCACTTTTCCATTGCATAATGAATGACGTTCTCTGCCTGATTCATAAGAAAGTTGATGCTTGGGCCTTGGTTTCTAGATCCTAAGTTCAGATTCATTTGTTAAGCAAGTATTATGGCCCAAATGAGATGCAATACCCAACCTAATACATTGGATGAAGCCTACAATATTTCACTTAAGTTCCAAGTATGCTAGCTGTGTAATTCCTGTCAATCTTTTACATTTCATCATTTTTTTTTCTTTGTTTCTTCTTCAGATTACCATTAACTAAAATCCCAACATAATATAATTACGCTCTACTACTAGAATTTATGTTAAACAAACCCCTTCAGGAGAGTGGGGGACACACAGAATTTATGGTAAACATAATGCTCATCAACCATGGTCTCAATATGAGATGAAGGATCACCATGGGTAATTGCATTCTGAAAGCCCACAAATCAACAGCAAGACGCCGATTCTGTACTATAATTCAATAAGGATAGATCATAAATTTGACTCAGATCTTGAAACTGATAACTGCCTTCACTCAAGAATACATTTTGGGTGATTCCCCAAACAAACCATTCAAAGTTAAATTTAAAACCAATTGTCTCATTTTGAACTACGCGATAAAATTCGAAAGAACTTTGGGGGAGGAAAGTAGTTAAAATGGAGTTCCTTGGCATCTTAGTTCTTATTTCTTTCACAAAAGTGAGGATCGAAGAAATTTAAATCCACAAGTCAGAGAAATTGTACTATAAGGGAGGCAAAGCAAAACCAAAGTTCTGTCCTGATTATTCTGTGAGAACCGCAAATGAGATATGTAAATTATCGTCCTTTTAGGACTTTCCCTTGGACTTCTGCACCCAGGTTTATATTTCACGTGTGTAAAATGCACCTTTAAAGTTATGACCAATCTCTATTATGCATGAAAAAGGAGGCACTAGGGTGAAAAAAAAAAACTGGAATACAGTCTTTAGTGTTCAAATTAATTCCAATTAAGTTACACGTCATGAATATCAACGAAAGAACAAGTACAAAACAATCTCAAAACCAAAAAATAACATCTCATTAAATTGCCTATAATAGTACAGTATCAAACGGAAAAAAGGAACCAGATACTAATTCTGAAAGGAATTCGAACTAATCATTGGACCAGCATTCTGAAAGTTACATTTTGAATCTAAAACAGTGTGTGATTAAATATCAAAGTGCACGTTGTGCAAGGACCAGAAACAGGATCATCAGTACAAACCAAGAAGGTAATTACCTAACACTACATTTCATGTTTTCTTTCCTCCAAACTTCAAAGGGTTTTTAGGTCTTTCGGATTGAACCAGGGCAAGGCCACATAAAATTTACCAATGGAACCAGTATTTTAAAAGGCTAAATCAGTCATCAAACCATTTTGCTTCCATGAGGCACGGCGTGAGCTCAACATATAGAACGAAAAATAATTAAAAAATTATAATTGTAATAAATCATTAATTTGTAAACAGTCTAAAGCCTTCACAATTAAATATTTTACTAAAATTAAAGTATGATTTTCGACTCCAACTTTAAAGGGAACAATATATTAGCAAATAATAAAATTAACATAGTAGAGATTACATAAAGAGAGTATTAATCTACGAAAATCAAATGAAACAACTGAACTATCTATCAAGAATTTTGCTTGATTTTAGCTTTAAGAGAAAAGAAAAAAAAACACAGAGACAACAAACAAGAAAACTATAAAAGAGAGAAAAGAGAGAAAAGTTAATTGTCGTAAGTCTCCTATCACCGATTGTTCACCGTTGATAAGTTGCAATTTCAATTGGGAGAGGGGTTTATCGCATTTCAGTTGTAGGATGCTAGGACATGCTGGCTTCACTTGCACTCTTTTATATTCTCTCTCTCTCTCTTTTCCAGTTCGTAGGGTAGAGCTGCATTTAAAATAGTTCATAAAACCTTAAAACATTCTAAGCTACATAAGACCAGCCAAAAAGGCTGAAGCCAATAGTTACACAGCACAAAGCTTATGCCTTGAGGCGTGTGCCTGAATATGTTGAGGCATAAGTCTTGACAAGTAGCGCTAAAAATGTACGCTTCGGGATATTAAGAAAGCCCTAAAATGATGCATGCCTTAAAGAGTAAACCATGGTTGCTGCCTCAAACTCATTTTCAACCACACATTCTCCCAATAAAAAATTTTGCACATAAACTCAAATTTTTCTTACTTTTTAACCACACATTCTCCAAAAAAGATCACTATTAAAAACTCATTTTCACTACAAAATGAGGCTCAAACAAAGGCTAAATGAAGACAAAGTTTATGCATACCATTACATCACAAAGTCAGCACAATTCATAAATAAGAACGGTAAAGTAAAGAACACAACCTATTGACTTCCAGCAAGGGTCATCAAGCACTTTATGTTTCACAAAAATATCCTTAACGCATCATTTTCTCCATGGGATGATCATTTATCACTTATAATCATGGCTTGGAGGCCACTTCATAAGCTTAAGTTTCGTCAGCATAAAAACGAAAGAAATTGCAAGTATGATGCAGAAAACAACTACATTGGTAAAACATAAAAATAAAAATAAAAAATTAACATTGCAGTCTAGTAGAGCCTTTCATAATACAATATTATTACTCAAATAATCTAATCTTAACAATGGAGGTCCCCAAGCTATGAATGGTCATCGTACAAGAAGCTCACATGTTAAGAGCAATTTTGTGAAAAATTAAAGTAATTGATTATCTTTGGTGGGACTCTATAGGTTATGTTGTTTCATTCATTGCCCCTATTTATAACATGCTTAGATTTTGTTGATAATGAGTTGTTAAAAAGTAGGAAAAAATTTCGGATTTGCGTGTACTATCATTTTATTTAGAGACTGTGAGATTAAAAATAAATTTGAAGAAAAATTAGTTTTTATAGAATGAACTCATACAGGGGCTTAGTTAGACATGTGGGGTACCATGATATAGAAAGCAAAAAATAGTACGGATAAACATGAATAAATGCATCAAGAAAAGTTATTATTTGTAAAATGTCATTCACCATATGCTTGTTGACAAGTGGAACAAGGACAACACCCCAATTCATTATTTGGCTCATTTTTAAATCTAACATCATTGTTAAATGATGCCTTCATTCACATTTTTGTATTTTTTTGCTATTTTTAGTTTGTTAAATATTTTTCTCTTCATTTTAGATGCCGTAATGAGGAATAGATTTTGAAGGACCACAAAAGTTACTCGCCTAAAGATTTCAAGGTTTCATGAGCGAGAAAGAATGCAACTAAGAATACTTTAGATGAAGAGAGCATTAGAATCAACATGCAGAATTTTAATTCCTCAAATTTGGCCGAAGATTTTGGCAAGTATGAATATGACCCTATGCATGATGGTCACTACATGGACCCAAAAACTAAAATGGTTATCTATGGTGCTTATATTCCTATGTTTCAAACATTGGACTTGATATTATAAGTGCAATCATTTTCTTCATCTAGACTGCTTATTCATTTTTATCTTCTCTTCTATAAATAAGCTTCAAAATGTAAAGAGGATTTAGACTCCGCCGATAGCAATATTCGTCTCTTTTCAATGATGAGTTCACAATATTCCCAAGGTGGGACTTATAAGAGGCATCTAGATACCAAATTGAGAATTGATTATTGGGGGAATGAATTGTTCATTCAAGTACATTTATACAAGATACAAATCCTATTTAAGGTAAGGCAACTATTTGTATTACTATGTTAGCCCCTGTTTGGTTCCCATTACTTTCTTATTAAAATGAAAAATATGACCGTTATCCATCATATCAAGCTACCAAATTTGAATTTCTATCTCTTGTGTGAGACCCGTAATGACTATTTTTTTCATTCTCATTCTTCCAAAAATGAGAAACAAACGGGGGCTTAATTCCTATTCAAATAAGGAATTCATTTGATAACAAAAAAAAAAAAAAGGGAAAGATAAAACTTATGCATTCCAATTCATACATTTAGTTTATTTGAAAATGTTGGTGTGATTGAAGTTACTAATTTATCTCTGCACAAATCAGAACTAGGGGAGGCAATATTTGCTCATAACAGAAATGAAAATGTTGGAGTGGCAAGTGAAGATGAATATTAGAATTTAATTTCATTGTTATGAAAAAATATTCATGAACTTGATGTCATGTTTGGGCTTTATATATGTAATATACACTTTGATGCAACAAGTATACAATGTCCAATTCTCTTTATTAAAAAAGTTAATTTATATTATTTCACTAATGTGTCCGTGACATGTCATATATTACTTTTTGAAAAACATATTTGTGTGTCATGTCCGTGTCCGTGTGATACATCGTTTCTTAGAATATTTGCATCGATGTTTAGTTAGTCATTCAAAACTATATTTCACTTCTTATTGAACGGTATTTTGCTCAAGAGAGAATAGAATTAAATAGCAATGCAAGATGACATCTTAAATCGTGCTCTACCAAGCTATGTAACATTATGTGACATTAACAATAGTTTTTCTACTAAAATTATTTGAAAACTCCCTGTAGACTGCAAAATTTTCAAAGTGATATGTTAAACCTTCATAAATGAAGGACTTTGTTAAACCAACAATTGCTATTTATATATCTCACGATACTCAGGGTACTAAAGTGATCAGATCTACATTGTGCCCATGTTATGCTTACTTCCCTCACTCAAGTTTTGTAGGTAGTACCCTCAAAAGAAGAATTTTAATAGCTCACGAAACAGTTGCAATTTTGACCCTCGACATCCAGAAGCCCTGGTAAACATGACCAGAATGCCTACATATGAACAGATATAAATAATAGGTATAGTTGCATTTTTTTTAGTTGCACAATTATCCATAAATCACTCCTAACCATTAGAGAACTTATAAACATTAATGCATTACCCACTTTTACAAAATTGCTCGCAAATATACTACAATGTCAATAAGACATTGGGGCATCCATGGACTTTGGTAATAATTAACATTTAAACTTAATGCAAGAGTAATCCACATAAATCTTCTCCATCAATTTGTATACTAACAAAAACTATTCAAACAAGAATGACGAAAAATACAAAGTAATCTGAATAGCTTACAGTTGAGTAGTGTCATCCAAGGAAGGACTTCAAGGTCTCGTAATTAAAAACTCTGATCACAAAGATCCCTTCAAGAACACCCAAACACGCTCCAGCCACAACATCAAGCACGAAATGCCGGCCCAGAAGTACCCGCGAAGCTGAGGTAATTGCAGCCCATACGCCTACAATCACAACAAAATACTCAACAAGCATACTATCAGCATCAAACTTCAATCGGGTCACCAAAATTTGTTCCACTGAAGCTGAATAGATGCTAATGAGGGTGGCAATGAAAGAAACCCTAGAGGAGTGCCCACTGGGGAAAGACCAGTGGTCAACAGCGAAAGAGAGGAACATGTTCTTGTTGTAAACTGGGCGAGGGCGTTGGATAAGGTGTTTGAGAAGGCCAATCAAGAGAAGGTCCAAAAGGGATCCGAGTAAAAGGTTTAGTAGGAGGAGAGAGGTGACGGTGAGGGTGGCGGTAGTTGTGAGGGTGCTGAGGGAGGTAGTGGTGTAGAGGAGTGAGAGAATGATGGGGAAAAAGAGACGGCCATCACCGGAGAATTCGAGGAATTTGAGGACCGAGAAGGGGAAGATAGGATTAAAGAGGGTGTAGAGGTGGAGGGAGATTGCTGTGTCTAGGTTTATTAGGCGGCGGAGGAGGGTTGGAGAGGGTGGTTGTGGTTGTGGTTGTTTAGATTCCATGATTCTTGATTTTCCGGTGACCCTCAATTCAACCGTCAAGGATGTTAAAGCATTCAAGTGCTGGCCCAATATGTCGTTGATTTGGGGTATTTTTAATTTGACCCAGGACTTTGAAAATTGTGAATATTATCACATTGATCTTTCAAATGTCCTTAAATGTATTATATAATTATAAAATATTTTATTATTGAAAGGATTTTACTATCATTTTAGTTAATAATTGAAAATCAAATATTTCCCCACTTGTAAAACTTCAAAACAAGCTTTCAAGACAGAAAAACTCTTATCTTTTATCTGCTTGAATCTCAATATCTCAAAAAACGTTCAAACGTTGAAGTCGGAGATTTTTTTCATATCAATTATTTCAAATTGGTAAGTATATTTACGCATGTTTAATTTCGTTTTCAGTAAATTAGTAAACGTTTGAATAGAGAAATTTTATTTCGACATAGTAATATTTAGTATAATTTTTTTTAACAGATCTTACCTATCAAAATTTTTTTTGAGCAAATCTATAATTTTTTTCTTTAGAACCGTAGAAGAAAAAAATTCATGCGTAAAACAGCCAAACGGTCAGCTGTTAAACAGCCGACTGTCAGTTGTTAAACAGCTGATGGTTTGGCTGTTTAACAGTCGACTGTTGACAATGATTTTTTCTTATAATTAATAAATGAAATTAATTAAATATATTTCCTCATGCATATATAATAATCTCCGTCTGTTATTTCGATGATTTCGAATTAAATGAAAATAATCGGTGAGAATGGAGATGGACGAGTGACATATATGGCTGTATTGCAATTCCAATAACAGAGAGTACATCATACTCAGAAATGTACCACGATTTGCAAAATAAGTTGAATGTCGATCAATCTCAATACGATATGCAATTGAGATATCTATTCAACGGTTATGGGGATTCATCCATTCCGATGTCATCGGTATTCGTTACTAATGATGTTGAATTGAATTATCTATTAGAATTGAATAAAATGCATCGAATTCCGATTGTTCTTGGTGTGACTTTAATTAAGAAGGATGTTATCGAAAGTGAACACGAAAATTCAGATAGGGCGGATAACAATAATCGAGATTTTTGGGAGACGGTAGAGATAGTTCCTGCGGATGATGTGGTTATTCCTGAGACAATTTTTTTTTATCGTGATGTCGCTGTTACGCGCAGAATTCTGTCGACAGTTGAAGACAATGAGAATATAAATGAGTTTACAAATGAGAATTTGATTACTTTATCCCGACAGAGACATGAGCCAGGTGGGAGCTCACGGGTTGAAACAAGTGAACCGTCCTCCAATTCTTCCCGTGTGGCTCTCAATGATGAGGACTTATATGTCGAGTAATTGTTTGAAACCAAGAAAGATTTTGTAGGAAGCTGTGCACCGATTGACATTAAAATATAACTTTGAGTTAGGGTAAAGAAATCAAACAAGTCATTATTAACAGTTGCCTGTGTCTAAAACAGTTGCAATTGGCGCTTGAAAGCAACTAAGATGGACACGAATGAGTGCTTCGTAATTCGTAAGTATTCGCGGGAACATACTTGCGAAATGGGAATTCTTCGAAACGATCACAGGTAAGCTCGAGCATGGTTTATTGGTCGACAGATAATGCACAAGTATCAAGACCCACAGACGATTTACAAACCTTCGGACATCATTAACGACGTCCATCGAGAATATGGAGTAGTCATGAGATACCAAAAAGCTTGGAAGGCCAAAAAATGTGCGTTGGAGGATTTAATGGGATTGGTTGAGGAGAGTTATGCTAAATTGGTCAGGTATTGTCATAACATGGGGACAACTAATCTTGACACGACATTTTTTATTGAGACGTGGGGCGATAATTGTTTTAAATATTTCTTCATATCTCTCGGACAATATATTCGGGATTTTCAAAATGCAATGCGACCTGTAATTTTAGTTGATGGTACAACTCTAAAAGCTAAATATCAAGGTAAATTAATTATTGCTACATGTCAAGACGCCAACATCCAAATTTACCCTATTGCATTCGGCATAATCGACAGTGAGAATGATCTATCTATGCATTGGTTCTTTTCGAAACTGAGGGAACTGATCGAGGAAGTCAAAGACCATGCCTTTGTAACCGATCGGGACAGTCTATAATAAACGGTATCACTGAAATTTTTCCAAAGGTACATCACGGGTATTGAATGTACTATATACAAGGTAATTTGAAGACTAGGTATCGGAGCAAAAGCATCGTCTCATTGTTCAAGAGAGCAGTCGAAGCTTACAGTGCTGAAAAGCGTAATAAGTTCATGTTCGAGATAGGAAGTAAATCATTACCGGTGTTGGAATATCTGACAAACATAGGGATCGAACATTGGGCGCGGTCATACTTTCCAGGACGTCGATACAACATGATGACGTAGAATAACGCGAAGGCTCTCAATGCATTATTTAAGAAGGATCGAGAGTTACCAATTCTCGCAATGATTGAGAATATTCGTAATAAGCTGTAACAGTGGTTTCATGACCGACGTGCGGCATCACAGAATTGCACTAGCGTGCTGGCCCCAGCTCAAGAGGAGAAACTCTTTAAGGCGGCAGAGGTTGCGAGGAAGTTGAATGTGAAAGAACTAGATGAGTTCCGCTTCTTCGTGCTATGTGCATGTAATACGACATATATGGTGGACTTGACTGATAACACATACACTTGTACGAGATTTCAGTTGGAGAGTTTTTCATGTGAGTATGCAGTTGCGGTGGCCATGTATCGAGGCTTTGCAACGAGAACGTTATGCTCTTTGTATTATACGGCTGAATCTTGGAGAACAGCATATGCTAAGACTATATTTCCTCTGCCGAATGAAGCCGAGTGGGAAGTTCCAGAGCACATTCTCCCGTTTCATAATTTGTTGCCACCAGTAGTTGAACCGCGTGGTCTTGGACGTCCAAATACATTTAGAATACCATCTACCGGAGAGTTTCCTCGACCGCGTAAGTGTGGCAGGTGCAGAGCCATTGGGCATACTCGACAATTTTGTACCAGTCAAATTCCTCTAAATGACAATAAGACAGGTACGTTAAATGAATAATATTTCTGTTTACTTTACACTGTTCAATATTTGTTCTTCATAAATATTCAATGTTCAATATTTATTCTTGATAAATGATATTTACAATGATTCATATGAAAAAATTAGTTCCATTCTCAATATATGTGTAAAATAAAAAAATAACTTACAGAAAAATAATTATATACATTGAACACAAATTTATAATTATTTCTTAATCACAAAAAATAATTAAATTTACAATGTGAATGTTATATACATTGAATATAAATTTACAATTATTTCATAATCACAAAAAATA